AACAATAAGAACTAGGGATGTAGCTCAGTGGTCAAGCATCTCTGGTTCAATTCCCAGTACCAAAAAAAAAAACAAACAAAGTGACTTGAAATAAATACTTGGGAACTTGGAGAACAGGGATAACGTGGGTTGACTGTATGTAGATACAGTAATATTTATAGTAACAATGTGACCTCTTCCAGGGAGTATTCAGGAAATTGTTCCAGAGTGGCGGGGGGTTCCTCCTCCAGTGCATTTCAGTTGAGACACCTTCTTTTCCTTCTAAATGACCATAGTTCTTATTTATTCATTGGCTTATTAATTTTTCTTCTTTGTGACTGAGAAGACCACTTGTGGCCATTGCTGCATTGAAAGTAGTTACAATAAGAGGAGGATTAAACAGATCTTCAATAAGTAGTGCTTATTAGGGCCAAACTGATGGTAGCTGTGGTAAAATATTGTGCTGCAGTGACCTCTGACATCCTTGTACTACAGTTGTACTCAGTGTATATCCATTGTACTACAGGGACCCATGACATCATCCTTTTTTTTAACACCTTTATTTATTTATTTTTATGTGGTGCTGAGGATCAAACCCAGTGCCTCATATGTGCTATACAAGGGCTCTACCACTGAGCCACAGTCCCAGCCCCAGCCCGACCCATGACACCCTTTAAGTGAGGAAAATTTTATTGCAGGGAGCAGTCTTTTATGAGACTTAAAGTAATGGTAGTAGGCATAGATATCACATCTCCAATTTAGGAGTTATGATATAGTTAGAAGAAATTTGCTTTTCTCTCCTTTGAATTTTCATTAGGTTTAGATGAGAAAACCAGTGCCAGGTGGTTCTAGAGAAGAAGTGTTATAATTTTCTCTTGTTAGATTACTTGTAATGAAAACATTCACAATTTTCAGTGGGTGTACCTCCCATCCCATCTTTGTTCTGGACCTTATGCATTATATCAATTACTGTGACAGGAGCTCATCTTAACTTTGTTCACAGTATGAGAAAAGCCTTAGCATTTCCTGACAGCTTTGTTGATGCACTGAAAAATGTAGCAAGTAGGTGTATATAAAAAGGAAACTGGAACCTATCCTTCTTGTATATCTACCTTATTTCTAAAATATTTACTGCATCTCATTATGTATATTAAGCAATGTTAAGTCATGAGGAGAATAGGATAAAAAAGTGTGTGAATCAAATGTTGATTCTAAGATTTTGTTAGGGTATAAGTGGTGTGTTCAGAAGAGGAAGAGATTGCATATGGCTGTGGGAATTAGGAATGTTTGAGGGTTAGTGGAAATATTGCAGGGTTAGGTGTGAAAAAGGCCCTTCTCTGAGGCACAGAAGGAGGACGGTGGAGGCCATTAGTAGGGACTGCCACATAGCTCTTACAGGATGCATGAAGGGTTTTCAGTACCGGAGAAAAAGGCAGGGACTTCCTTTAGCTCCTGCTAAGCATGGCCAACTTGGTTAAAAAGATTTATTTTTAGATTCTTTGGTGATTCAGGTCTTACTGTTTTCTGATTACCTGTAGTTTTCTGAAGTTTCCTAATTCGACTTAGCATATGTATAGTAATTTAAATATTTTAAGACTATTTTTAGGGCTGGGGATGTGGCTCAAGCTGTAGCGCGCTTGCCTGGCGTGCGTGTGGCTGGGGTTCAATCCTCAGCACCACATACAAAGATGTTGTGTCCGCCGAGAACTAAAAAATAAATATTAAAAAAAAATTCTCTCTCTCCCCACCTCTCTCTTAAAAAAAAACAATTTTTAACTGTAAACTTTACTAGGGAAGAAACTATTTTGTTTACTATCTTCCCAATATTTAGCATATAAGGGCTTGTGTATTTTTCACATTATTTTATGTATCTAGAATGTGATTCTCATAAAATTTAAAGAGCGTGTGCCAGCTTGGTCTTCCTAACATGTTGGATGGTTCCAAGAGTGAGCTTCTCGAGAGAGCAAGGGAGAAGTCATGGTATTTTTATGACCTAGTTTTGAAAATCATGTAGTGTTACTTCTTTAATATTTTATTGGTTAAGGTAATCACAAAGTTTCTCCCAAGTTCAAAGTGAGGGAATCGAGACTACTGAACTTGATGGGAAGAGTGTAGAGTGTAATGGTCACATTGAAGAACATGTGAAATGGTAGATCTTGTGTAGGCTGTCTTTGAAGAAGATAATCTGTTATAGTTGTTTATAGTTTCCATCAAATTTGGAAATGTTTTGGGGTCCAGTATTGTCACTGGTGTTTCTTGGTTCTCTTTAAAAGAGCTTGTCAGACAGCTTTTTTAATACGTTATGTTTTTCTTTTTCTTTCCCTTCTCAGACACATTTAATCAAACCAGGCACCAGAATGCTAACACTCTTTCCTGGAGAGAGAAAGCCTAGTATTTCCTTTACTCAAAGAAAAAGTCCATCTGTAGAGGTTCGGCAGACCAGCATTGCTTCCTTCTTTACCTCGCAGCCAGGTATGATGACCCATATGGCAACACTTCATTATCCACGGAGCACAAAGGAAGATGTTCATTGCTCCATGTTGCAGCATTTATGAGATGTGAAACCAAAGTATCAGGTTAAACTTAGCTGACTTATTGTGTTATAAAATAAGAAATTATTGCCTTTTGAAAAGCAGTATATGCATGTTTTTACAAATATATTTTTTCTGATTCTGTTTTCAGTTTAATACAAATATTTGCATTCACTGACACAACAGTGGGGAAAGATGTACTTGAGAGCCATCTTGGAGCAGGTTGCTTATAGAGCAGGGGTTCCTACCAGTTGGAGGGCACTGGGAGGAATCTTCTCTGATTCAGGATTGCTCTGTATAAACCGTCAAAGAGCATGTGCTACCTAAGTTGATTATGGCCTCACTAAGTTGCTGAGGTTGGCTTTGAACTTGCAGTCCTCCTGTGTCAGCCTCCCAAGCTGCTGGGATTCTAATATGCCCTATATTAAGCACACCATATGAACAAAAACTGAGCTGGAAAAATAGGCTGTGGTCTGATGTATATATATGTACGTATAGGTCATGGGGAACATCCATGTATTTCATTAGGGGAATATAAAATCTGTGGTTTAGATTGTTCAGGAAAGAACAGCGAGATTAAAAGCAGCCACAGGCCTGGGGATATGGCTCAAGCAGTAGCGCGCTCGCCTGGCATGCGTGCGGCCCAGGTTTGATCCTCAGCACCACATACAAACAAAAATGTTGTGTCTGCCGAAAACTAAAAAATAAATAAATCTTCTCTGTTAAAAAAATTTTAAAAAGCAGCCACAAAGTTATCTGAAGAGTCTAAGTAAGATCCCTGCACTAGGTAATAGTGCCTGGTACTGATTGCAGAAAAAGCCAATTAAATCCTGCTCAAAGCAGTTTTCCTGCATTATAATATCTGTCCACTCCTGTTTTACTAGGAATGACAGATGGTGGCAACCAGAGGAGTGTTTCATCTCACATAGAAAGTCACATCAACAAAGAATCAGAGTCCAAGACAGATACAACCCAGCCAGACCATTTGATCCAGGACTTGAGGGATAATGACATTACACCTCCTTTGGCCACTTCAACCCCTGCCGATATCCAGGAAACTGCACTTTCTCCTCTATCCTTGCAGACTTCTGGCCACCACAGTTTGGGAACCCCATTTTTAACTCTGTTGCCTTTGCCCCAACCTGCCACCCTTGTCTCTGCTGGTGAGAATGATGCTTCACTGGCTTTTTCCTTCACCCAGGACTTGGAAAGTTCTTGTTTGCTGGACCCAAAGGAAGGAAAGAAGGATTCTCTCAGGAAAACGAAATGGCTTCTTGGATCTAAGAACTATCAGGACCTGGAGAGAGACATCAAAGTACCTGGGAGCAAATGCCATCAGCTCTTGGACAAAACTAAATTGGAAAAGAAGATGTCTGCCAAAGAAAACAGGCAGGCCCCTGTGTGTCTTCAAACTTCCAGGGAGTCCTGGAGTAGAGAAAAAACAGAATCAGTGAAACAAAGCCCTTGTCTCCTTTCTGGGTTTTCCTGGGAGAGTGAGAAGATTGATAAGGATTCCTTGAGTCAGCTTTTCACTGAAGATTCTCAGGGACAGCGAGTCATTGCCCATGACACTAGAGTGCCTTTCCAAGATTTAACCAGTGCCTGGAATCGGGGCCCAGGGCAGTTTCCCACCAGCTCTCCAGCTCAGTGCCAGGATGGGACCATTCAGTTCAACCTGGAGCCTGACTTGCTCTTTACCCAGGATTCTGAAGGGAATCAAGTTATCAGGCACCAATTCTAAATGTTTATGAGGGTTTGGTTCTAAAATCACCTTGAAATGGCAGTGTTGTAGAAAAATATCTTATAAATGTGGATGAGGGGAGTGTGGATTTAGGTGGGAAAGTATCATGGGATTAATTAAACTGTTAGTGTTGAGTAATTTCTTTGTAAATAAAGTGGGTTGAGACAGTATAGACTGGTATCATGCTTTTCCCTCAGAAAGGTAGACTAGAGTTCCCTGAGTATGATGAGCACTGAGGAGGCACGGGAGGAACTCATCCCTCCATTAAAGAGCCTGTTAGTCAACCTGTATGGAACCATCTCTGCCCTTTCCCATGCTCGATTGGGTCCTTTCTTAAGGGTGCGTGTTCTTTTCATTTCTAGCTGTAAATGTACCCATTCAACCTAGGCTTGGAACCATTATTCCTGATATCTTTTTATTGGTTGATTGATTGGGTGTGTGTTTCGTGTGTGCAGTGCTGGGGATCAAACCCAGGACTGCACACACGTTGTTAGGGAAGTGCTTTGCCACTGAGCTCTGTTCCTAGTCCATTCCTGATACTATTTTGAGAGAAAAGGCAAATCTCCCCAACCGGATGGGGGTACTCTTTTTTATTATTTTTGTGGTGGTTATACAGCATATTCAAGTTCTGTACTTTGTTTAAATAGTCCCTCTAAAAAAAAAGTGTGATGTATATAACCTAGATGTAGCTGTTGTTACTCTTCTTTCACAAGGTGTAAAACAAGTGGTAATTAAGACATTATTACCAATTTTATTTTTGAAAAAGAAACTTTTTAATATATTCTGTCATTGCCCTGAACAGATCTTATTTGGCCCTTTCTTACCCAAAGCATAGTCCACAAGGTGGCAGTTTCTCATGTTGCAGGTAGAGTACCTGAGGCTTAAACAACCTCTAGGGGCAAACCTGTAAGTATAAGATGGAACTGCTTTTAAGAGTTTAGGGCAAAATCTCTCCATAATGGGGAAAGAAACTTCCTAGGGAAGTTTACTTTTACTAAAGTGCAGGACCTTGAAAAAAGAGTAAGCCAGGAGCCTGTTTAAGAAAGTTCATGTACCTTAAAATTAATAGAAATCCTCTACCCTTAAAGGATGCTGGATAATCACAACTCAAGAGATGGACAAAGAAAATGTACTATTTCTCCAAATCCTTCATTTAATATCAGCTAGTGTTTCAACCCAAACACACACAGTATACATACCTAGAGAAAGGGCCCTGAGGGCATCTGAGTCATGCATGCATGATGCAGTTAAGTATGTACCTTGGCCCAATTCAATGGAATAGTCAGCCAAGGGCCTGAAAGGATGGTATGCTCTTTCCCCTCCCCATTTCTCTTACCTACTGGACTTACTAGAGTCCGTGGAAGAAAAGTTTTCAGTCGGTGGAAGTGATGAGGCCTCAGGGCCTTGGAGGGTAGATTTGGTTGTACAGTATTATAAAACATGTTTAAGAAAAAATAGCCTAGGCCTCCCAATAGCAGCCCAAGTCTTGGCTGGTCCAGTGGCCTGAACTCTACATCTAGACAGGGAAGGTGTGACTGCTGGGCATTGGTGTAGGTTTATGATGGAGCAGCATAAGATATTCCCTGCCCTGTGAACATGTACATAAACACTTGTAGCCCCTTCCCCTCAGCTCTGCTCTGCTGCAAGAAAGCTGCTGAGAGTAAGTGACAGCTGGCACAAGGTGTCTGGTGAGACCAGTTATGGGGTCTAATGCAGTGAAGTCAGTCATTCATTTAGGTCCTATTTTCACACAGGGACAAGGAAAAACAAACTTCTTTCATTCTCCTTAAGCTGAGACTCCACCATATACAACTACCTGAAACAAGTGTCTCAGCTCAAATGGAAAACATATAATCCAGCTCTTCTCTTTCAGCCCAAGATCTAGCTTGTCAGCAAGACTGTATTGAGAGGCAGAAACATCTGCGGTGAGGAAGGCAGCTATTGAAGGAATTCCAGGAGCAAGAGACTGAGTTTGCAGAGTGGAGTGCCATCAGTTTCCTTTTCTACTGATATCTTCTTCCTTCAAAGCAAACTTCCTCCTTAGGACCTCAGAGATAAGCACAGCAGGGTCTTCCTCCTTCATTAAACTCCGGGTCCTAGAGTGACAACAATAGCTTGTATTTAGGGTGAACTTGCTCTGTGTCTGCACACAATATCTCACTGAATCCTCAGAACAATCTTGTGAAGCAGCTGCCATTACAAGTCCCCTCTACTGATGGGAAAATGAAGCACAGAAGGGCATGCTGTTTGTCTACAGTCATTGGTAGTCATTAAACAAGTGATGAATCCACACTTTAAAACCAACCTTGCTAGTTCTCAATCTCACTTAATTAGAAGGCTGTACTACTTCTGGAAATACCTATACATAAGGTATAGGCAAAACAAAGGACCACTGGCCTCTGGTAGCTACACTTTGGCTCCCACTTTATGACCCTATCTTTCCTTAGTAGCTTGTCCCGAGTCTACATGGGAAGGAACTGATGACTCTTGGCCATTCTGACTTGTTAGTTCTGAGGAAAAGTTGTGTTGAAGATTGCCTTCTAGGGCTGGGGATGTGGCTCAAGCCGTAGTGTGCTTGCCTGGCATGTGTGCGGCCCGGGTTCAATCCTCAGCACCACATACAAAGATGTTGTGTCCACCGAAAACTAAAAAATAAATATTAAAATTCTCTTTCTCTTAAAAAAAAAAAAAAAAAAAAAAAAAAGATTGCCTACTACCTTGTCCTCCCCCCAGGGGAGCTGAGAGGGAGACTTTTATGAGATTCAGAATCAGAAAAAAATTCACATTTCATAAGGAACTCTTGGGACCAGACTAAGATAGACTCAAATTACCTGCTATATCATGTAGTGATGCCCATATATTTTTTTTAAAAATATTTATTATTTTGTTTTAGTTGTAGGTGGACACAATATCTTTATTTCATTTTTATGTGGTGCTGAGGTTTAAACCAAGTGCCTCACGCATGCTAGGTGAGCATTCTACCACTGAACCACAACCCCAGCCTCACCCATACATTCTCATGAAGGTGTTCTACTGGTCTTTAGGTAATATATAGAAGAGGCAAAATCCACCATTAAACCTTAAAAGTAAATGACTGGTTTATCATAATTCTGAACTCTTGTGGTCAGGGCTACTTTCTTTCTCATTCTTAGTCATCAACCTAGCTTCTTCTATTACAAGGAGAAAAAAATCCCAGGACATAAGTGGGAGGAGGGACTTCGCAATAAGGATCCGGTGAGCTCCAAGCAGCTCAGACCATACCTGGAGACACTGGAAGGGCTTTTTTTCAAGGGGGCTGGAGGTGGTCTCCCCAGACTCCAGCATATTCCCACAGAAACAAGAGCTCCACTCCTTGGAGATTCTGCTTTGGTAAATTTATGGTGTATTTTTAACAAACCTGAGCAATTACAGGTTTAGAAACTACCTGTGAATCTCAAAAGCCTTATTCTAAAAGCCTTGTACTTGCAAGGGCTTTTGCATTATGGACCAATATCTTTTAAAGCAGAAATCCTTGACTTTCAGAAATTCTCCTTGCACCAAGACTTCTATAGTTTTACTGTGTCATATAACCTAAGTCTGCTGTTGAGACCCGGAAACACTGCTACTTAGCAACATGAAAACTAAATGATGAGGCCACCTAGAGACAGAAGTTGGATTAGATGAGCTTCTTTGTAAAATTCTCACTAGTCTAACATTTGGTTGGGGGCAACTTAACCCAAAATGTGAAGTGTTGCTCCTTCCTCAAACTGGGGTCCCAGCACTAGGAACCATGTAGTTAGCAGGCTTTATGAACCAGTGACATAATGGCTACTACCAAGGACTTGTGTAGTGTGCTGCATCCAATCACCACAGGCAACTTAAATAGGAAACTAGGTCTCCCTGTCAACTACTTACAGATCTTGGCTCTGTTTTATCCGGTGAAAGTCCTTCAGGATACCCATCATGTCTGCAAAGCTGCTGGCCTTGGACAGAGAGATGCAGTCATCCTCTTCAGACGAGCTGCAGGTAGCTTTGTGTTCTGGTTTACAACATTCAGGGCTGGCAGAACAAAGCAGGGGGACTGATGGAAGCTCAGGGACCTCTACCTCGGTCTCCTCGGTGATGTCACTAATGACAAAGGAAGTTGTAGAGTGGAATGAGGATCCAAAACAAGGTAAGGGAGAAGAGACATTTGAACTTCCTGGAGATAAGAAATCTGGCGTTAATGAAGCCGAAGCTGAAAGAGAAAACAACAGGCATGGATGGACATTGGGGCTACAACACAGCAGTGATCTCTTCTCCCCACAAGCACTGCCTATAGAATCTATTTATTTCTTGGGCTGACACTATGGCATTCTGGGAGAGTACAGGATGGTATATACAGCTAGTGATGGGTCCCTCACTATCCTTCCCACTTAGGGGTTCAGAAAAATGGGGAAGCATGGGGCTCTTGTGTTCCAGAAGGACAGAAAAATCTATCCCATAAAAGCCTCAGAGTTTCCATGGTGGGCTACAGGGTGACAGCCCTGGCTTGAATTTATGCAACAGTGACAGAGGCAAGGCCCATATTTGTTATTTCTTTCACTGGGACACTGCTTTTGATTCTGCGCCTTTGAATCTTATTATCTGTGAACTAAAACTATTCGGGGCAAAAACTAGAATGGTGGGGGCCTTCTAGTTTCCCAAATCTTTTTTTCTTTTTTTAAAATATTTATTTATTTATTTTTTTAGGTGTAGATGGACACAACACAATGCTTTTATTTTTTTATGTGGTGCTGAGGATCGAACCTGGGTCCCGCTTGTGCTAGGCGAGCACTTTGCCGCTGAGCCACAATCCCAGCCTTCCCAAATCTTAATAGACAGAATTTCCTCAGTTTCTAAGAAATATTCTCTGATTTTTTTTCATAAGCTAGTTCTGCTTATCTTGGATGACCAAAAAACAAAACCAAAAACAGCCAAGAAATAGAAATGGGAAATTTAAGTGCAGTCCCAACTGATAAAGTTTAGCACCTATGACTGAGTCATTAAGAATCCTGGGCGAGATCCACCTGTTGCTTGTCCATGCCTCTGCTCAAGGCTGGCTCCCACCCATTTCCATTTGTTCTGCCTTAACTATAGACAGAAAGCTGGAGAGGTGACCTCTGGTAGAAAGGACAAGGAAAGAGAGGATAGGTGCTTAAAGGGGATACATCTTGTGGTGGTGGTGAATGCTTACTATATTGAAAAGCAGAGTGTGTGATCTTAAAGACACCTGGAAGAAGGCACTGATTTTTGTGGCTAAGGGAAGAAATCTGCCTGAGGTCATAAGATGAACAAAAGTTTTGTTCCTAACCAAACCATTTATCCCAAAGTGACTGGTGGAAATCAACCAAAGGCCAACAGACTAGTTGGGCCTCAGGACAACCCCAGGGCCTTTGGCTTAAGCACCATTTTCCTGCCCAAAGCCAGGGGTAAAAGGACAGCCTATTATAGTATAGCTCTGAATCAGGGGCTCCTACCTGCATCAGCTGCTACTATCTTGGCAATCTGGCTGCGCAGGTGGCTCAGCTCATCCTGCAGCTCAGTGGTGCGGCTTAGGGCTGGCAGGGCTGGTTTCTTCAAGGCCAGGAGCCTCTCCTCAGACCCACGCAGGTTGGGCACAGAGGCATTGCGCTGCATGACAATCAGAGGACTGGGCTTCCAGGTATGCCTCAGGGGCCGTGTATCACTCCTGGACCAGAGAAAGATAAAATATGTCCATCACAGACAGATGGCCACTGCATCCCTTCTAAAATTCCTTCATCTCCTAAGTTCTGCTCCCCTCTGAGCCCACAGCTTTCATTCCTGTTGCCTCCCAACCCCCAGCCTCTTACAAGCCCCTCCTTGCTTTCTGCCACTTTGGGGAAGAAGCTCCCCACTCCTAGCTGCTGCCTTAGCTACCTGACCCGGGCATATGTCTCCTCTTCATCTGCAGCAATCCAGGCAACGTCTGCCAGAGTAGGGACTGGGGGCACATCTCTCATGCACAGGTCAGAGATGTTGGGCAGGGTCTGTGGGGAAGCAAAATTCACCAACATTTACTGACACCATGATGAGCCAATCAGAGATGGCAGAATGCACAGGGTAGGATGGGAGGCATCTAAGCCAGAATTAAGTTTTGGGAAGACTTCCTAGGGTGGTGGAAGGGGGTTCTTGGTTGCAAACAGCTTGAGTAAGGAGTTCAGAAGCAAGTTTCTTTAGGGTCTTCATTGGGAATTTTAGAAGGGATGCAGTGGCCATCTGTCTGTGATGGACATATTTTATCTTTCTCTGGTCCAGGAGTGATACACGGCCCCTGAGGCATACCTGGAAGCCCAGTCCTCTTTCTGTTTTTGGTACTGGGGGGATTGAAACCTAGGGTACTTTATCACTAAGTTACAAGCCCAGTTCTTTTATTTTTTAATACAGGGTCTTGCAAGTTGCCCAGGCTGCCTTGGAATTTGTGATCCTTCTGCCTCAGTCTCCAGAGCCACTGGGATTAATGGCGACCACGGTCCGCTGACTTAGGCCTGAATTAGTAGAGGTGGCTACTGTTTAAAATTATATTGCCCTATAGGTTTAAGAATACTGATGTAGGGCTTGGGTTGTGGCTCAGTGGTAGAGAACTTGCCTAGCACATGGGAGGCATGGGTTTGATCCCCAGTGTCACATAAAACTAAATAAATAAAGGTATTTAAAAGAAAAAAAAAGAATACTAGAGCTGGGCATGGTGGCACATGCCTTTAATCCCAGTGGTTTAGGAGGCTGAGGCAGGGGATCAAGAGTTCAAAGCCAGCCTCAGCAAAAACGAGGCACTAAGCAACTCAGTGATACTGTCTCTAAATAAAATACAAAATAGGGCTGGGGATGTGGCTCAATGGTCCAGTGCCCCTGAGTTCAATTCCCAGTACCTCAACCCCCCCCAAAGAAAAGAATACTGATGTAAATTCATCAACTTGTTATATTGACGGTAGATTTCCCCTGGTTAGCTCTGTATATATACCTTTATAGCTAATTTAGTTTATTTTTTATGTGTGGTGGTTGTGGTTTTCTTTGATGCTAGGTGAATCTATAGTCAGTTGGGATCTACATTATTATGACATTGGTTTGTTTTTAATTTGCCTTTATTTTTATGTGGTGCTGAGGATTGAACCTGGGTCCTGCCCGTGCTAGGCGAGTGCTCTACCACAGAGCCACAATCCCAGCCCCTGTTTTTAGTTGTTTTGTGGTGCTGGAGATGTAACCCAGAGCGTCATGTATGCGAGGCAAGTGCTCTACTAGTGAGTCCCAGCCCTACCACTGTTTTAAGCAAACCTGATAACTGAATATTTAAATTAAAAAAAATTAACTGTACAAAAGCAACCATAAAGGAATTTTTAAAATCTTTTTTTTTTTTTTTATATTATAGATGGACACGATACCTTTTTGTATTTTCTTACTTTTATGTGGTGCTGAGGACTGAATCCAGGCCCTTACATGTGCTAGCTAGGCAAGTGCTCTACACTGAGCCACAACCCCAACCCCATAAGGGGATTTCTTAACCCCTCAACCCAAATGAACAATCACCAAGGAAAAGAGTGGCTGAGTAAATGGTAACGTGTTAAATGAAAAAACAGGAATCAATCTCATGCTGACTATGATTAAAACAAAATCTGGGTGTGGTGGTACACAACTATAATCCTGGCAACTTGGGAAGCTGAGGTAAGAGGATCACAAATTTGAAGCCAACCTCAGTAAATTGTAACACACCTAAGATAATAAAAAAATAGCACATACCTATATGTGAATTAAATGCAAATATTTCTGCTACAATTTGTTTGGTAGGTGGATCAGGAGCTGATAGCTTCTGTTTTTAGCCAGGTTCCTTAAGTGAAACCCCAGGGTCAAAGCAGGACTTTCACTGACCCAGGAGCTACTGCTAAGATGGGCCACTTCAGGAAGGCATTCATTTGCTTTTCTGGATTAGCTCTGAATGTTCCATTGTTCTTGACAACTAAATCAATTAACACAGTTAAGTACTTTGCACAGTGTCTGACACAAAGGATATGCCCAGTAAATGTCAGCTAGTTTTACTAATACTGTTCACATGTACTCCTGCACTGAGAAAGCCTATGTCCTTGATTGTCTCTGCCCAGTAGCATTTGGCCAATGGACTGGAATGTACAGTCAAGTGTGGGGACAAATCATGGAGTCAGTAACACTCCCTAGGTGTATTCCCTGTTTCTGATACTTCTAAGGCAGCCGGAACTACATCCTGCCCACATCCTTTAGGTAATTCTGAATAGCTGGCAATATGGGTCATGGGACAACCCCTCATCCACACATATTTCCAACCCCATTCCTGGCTCAAATAGACATCACTTCTAACTCTAGAACTAGTTCCTACACAGTTAGCATCATTTTTGTTCTGGCTGGGCTCACATTCTTTCATGTATATATTTCTGTCTCTTCTGTGTGGGCAGAAAGCAGTACTTCTTTTATGTCCCAGCTTCCCAAACTCACACACCTTAACCACGTAGCCCTGAGGTAGTCCCTAATCATGAGTTCCTAGAGGAAGACCGCTAAGGCTAATACTATGTAGCCTTGGACTGCAGAAGGGGGTCTGAGAGACCTGGGCCAGGTAGGAACCTCTGCTAAAGAGCGGGTGTTAACAGCTCCCTAGACACAGAGGTAAGACTGAAGGAGCCCAGTAAAAAAGTGGTCACATTTGGCCAGAAAGAGGATGGGGACAACAGCCTCAGAGAACTACTAAAAATAGTGCCCGAGTAGCCAATCCAGGGCTCATGAAAAAAGCAGAGTTCCAAAGACAGCACTCTGTCCCATGTGGGGACTTGCCAGGTTGTGGGCAAACACCTCAGAGCACAGACATAATCTGTCTGGAGATTTGATTCAGCAAATGCCTTTGGCCTGCTCTGGTAAAACTGAACTGTTGGAAATCCAAGTCAGCAGAGACAACAAAGATGCAGTGAAAGATTATTAATTTATGAGCAAATGTAAAGTCTTGAGCATTGTGGTAACAGATTTGTGTCCAATCATAGTGACCAGGATCTACTATAAGCGCTTAATAAATATTTCCTGAACAACTGAAAAAGGGACCAGGAAACCAGGTGGCACCAACCTCCCACGAGGTCTGAGCTTCTACTTTCCTTGCCCTTCTAGCACTCACCTCAAATGATGCCCGGGGACATGGTTTCAGGGGTAGGTTGGTCCCAATTCTTCTCACTACACTTCGAGCAGCCCCATGTGGCTTGTTTTGCCAGATTGGAATAGTCTAGAGCAGAGAGACAAGCAGCTATGACCTCAGAAACAACAAATCCACCTATTGTCTCTGCCCTCTCCTCTTTAGCAGGGAGACTTGAATTCCCAACTCTAAGGGACAGGGCACCCTCTGGCAGAAAGTCAAGTTCAATTATGAGTGAGTGCAGGTTCTCCAATTGCCAGCCTTCACTTTGGCCAGCATTCAAAGGGACACCTGCTGCTTCTAAGAAAGTTGGGAGGTCCCAGGGAAGGGGCTAGGAATAGCTGGGTGTAGGGACCATCTAGGTTTCCCTCCCTTCCCTCTTCACAGAAAGGCAGAAACATATTGACTCCTGAAGTGTCCCCAAGATTATAATAGGTTCTTCCCTGGGGGAGGAGGGAGGAGGGCAGTCTTGCTCCAGTTCTAAGCATCCAGGGGAAAGGAAGAATGAATTAGAGTCTCAGGGCCTCAGTAGGTCCAGGGCTCAACTTTCCCCACCTTACCCATGCCCTGGAACACCCCTTACCACATTAGCTTCCATTCCCGACATTTCAGCCAGCTCCTGCACTTGAAGGACAAGGTAGCCACAGGGCAGCTCGGGGAGGCAGGACGTGTGACTCCTTCATATCAGGCCATCTCAAGGAACCACAGATTTCCCTTCCTGTGAAATAACCCCCACAGAGGGGACTCAATGGACACCACCAAAGTTCCACAACACCAGGCCCTGCAGAGCCATGACTAAAACCAAGTCCTCTGAAGCTTCACAAGGGAGAAAACCAGCCCAAGAGGCTGCCCTCAGCTAACACTGGCTTCTCCAAAACCACACTCTTTTAACGGTTGTGTTTCAAATTTGCTGGGTGAGCTTGGCTAACCCAGGGAGACTTCCTGGATCCTAACGTTTCCTGAGGCAAAACTTCAAAAGATGTTAATTGAATTCTCTGGTAGCTATGAAGCTCCTAGAAGAGTCTAAGTGAAAATATCATGGAAGCTCTGCACTGATTCTTGAAGATGAGATGCAAAAGCAAAGCATGGAAAAGCACTGCTAGGCCCCCACAAGGGGGCAGGAAAGGAGACTCAAAAGCAGCTGGCAGAAATGTCTCAGCCAGCTCAGGCCAGTCTCAGTCTACTGAGCTACAGGGAAGAGAGACTTTTTTTTTTTTTTTTTTAAGGGGGGGGGGTTGTGTGTGTGTGGGGGGGGGTTGCTGGAGAATCAAACCCAGGGCCTTGTGCACAATACTAGTCTCCCACTGAGCTGTACCACTAGTTCAAAGACCCAAAATTTCCCTACCTAGCTTTGCAGCTATAGGCAAGTCATTTAACCTTTCAGAATGTTAGCTTTTCCTATTTTAACAGATGGAGAAGCCATCACTCCGGGCCCTTAAAGATCAGTGAAATTGGTAGGTGGGTGGGGGTGGGGGCAAGGAATTTTAAGGTGCTTAGTGAACTTTAAAACAAAACAGGTGGGGTCACTCCTGATTGCACTCTCCACAGCTACCTATGCATGCAGCAGATGGGGTGAGTGAGCTCATGCATTAATACCCATTAGTGCCAGGCCCTGAGCTGTAGGGGTTGTGGAAGGAGTAAGACACAATTGTAATCCCAAGGCACTCACAGTTCAGCAGAGAGACAGGACCTGAACTCATTACCCTAAGGAAGCCTGAGGATCATTACTTGGCAGGCACACTAGGCAAATGACCTGGCAAGTTCTGTGCCCTGGCCCCCAGGCCCCATGGTGAATTCAGAGAGAGTAGGAAGGGAAGAAAACACAGAAAACAAGTCCCACACAGGAAGGGGAGGGATATGTAAAGAGAGGCAGAGTGCCATAAAGCTGCAAAGGTATCTGGGTACAAATTAGGAGGGGTGAGAAGTCATGGGGGGGGGAGCCCTGGGCCAATTCTGAAGGGGACAGAATGGAGTGACAACAGCTCTCTCCAGAGAGAACTCCTTTAGAGAGTTTCTCTCATATCTCAGGAGACAGTGTAACAACTTTATGATATACGTGGAGAAAGGAAGCTGGAGAGAGGAAGGGATTTGTCTAGGGTCACTCAGTGGTCATGCAGTAGGAAGTGCATTAAGTCTTTTCAAGCTTTGCTGCCTCTGTGCCAGGCTCTGTACTCAATGTCAATGCAACCCACAAGTTCACTTAGCAGTGCCTCTAGATCTCCCACTTCAGTCACTACAGCCACTCCCTCTCCACCTTGCCTCCAAGATTTGGCTGGGCCTAACCTTCACTGCCAGCCGGAGGCATCTTTCCAAATCAGTGTTTAAAGCTGGCCTGCTACAGCCAACAGGACTAGACTCCTCTCATGGCCTGCAGGGTCCCCGTAAGAGCCACCCCCATCTTCCCCGGCCCTCTCTAGGCCAAGTTCCCTGCCGGTGACAAGGCCTGTCTGGTCTGGCTGGACATTAACAGCCACACCTCCTGTTTCTCCCTTGCCTTCAGCCCTCTGGCCACGCTGTCCTGCTGCCAGACTCCAAACAGCCACCTCTGAGCCCCGAGTCACACTACTGCCTCTGCTGGAAACACTCTGGGAGCTCTGCTCAAGCATCCCTCCACCCCGACGGGGTCGGTCCTCTCCCGATAACGCGCAGCGCCCTGCCTCCTTCGGAGGCCGCTCAAAACAGAAACTGTAACCAACGCTTGGCCCGGAGGCCAGGAGCTCCCGGGGCGCAGCTCGCCGCCTGCCAGGCCCCAGCAAGCGCTTAAACATTCCAGGAATTCAGGGGACAGCGGAGGCCAATACCAACTTTGCTGGAAACCCCGCCCACGTGTCACTGCTGGAGAAGGCTCCTGCCCCGAGCGCCAGCGGCGGTAGGTCTGAGCACCTCGGGGCTGCCACGGCCGTTTCCGTGGCGGCGGTCCGGACGTTTGCGCGGCCTCCCCCGGGAGGCTGGGAGCTGCTCCAGAGCGGGGCCTGGTCTCGACGGCACTGGGCCCGGCGCCCCGCCGAGGCCGGGGCGCTCAGCAAACTTTGCCCAGCGCAGCAGCGGGCGGAGACCTGCGCGGACAGCCCCCACGGTTCCCGCGAGGGACCTCGTCAGGACGCGTCCCCAACCCGGGCCAAGGTCGGCCAAGTCCTCGTCGCCTGCCCAGCGGCCGTTGGACCCGCAGGCCAGGGGCTGGAGTGCGCGGGAGCGAGGAGGCGGCAGGGCAGCGCAGCCTGGACCAGAAGCCTCCGGTCCGGCTCGGTCCCTGTTTGGGGGTGACTCGTAAAGCAGCCCCCCCTCGGAGAATCAGTTTCCCCCGCCACAGGAGGAGGACAACGGCGGCTCCCGCGAGAACTCACGCGGGAACAGCGGCCGCCGGCTGCGCTCGGCGCCCGGCGCCCGGCACCCGGCACCCGGGCCCTACCTGCCACAGGGCGGAAGGACCGCGCCCCCGCCTCCCGGGCGGCCCCCAGGATATTTCTCACCTCAGACTCCGGCTACGGGACTCTCTCACCTCACGGCCCCTCCTACCGCAGCAGCCGGCCCAGCCTCGACCGCCCTCACTTCCGCCGGCCCGCCTCCCGGAAGCTGTCCTCTGCAGCTGCGCACCGAACGGCGGCCCCGCGCGCCCTGGGGAGGCCGGTCCGGCTCGGGGCGGGGCGAGCAAGACTCGGGGGCGGGGCGGCAGAGAGAAGACACGCCCTCTCTCGATGACAGGCTCGGGCCCTGGTCGCCGCGCCTGGGAAAAGCGGGTTGGCTGCGCTTGGAGACCCCTGAGACTTGATTCGCCACGTCCCACCGCTGGTCCTTTTCCTTGCTGCTCTCCACGTTTAGTTCCATCCGACTTCGGGAAGCTGAGATCTGTGTTGCTGCTAAGATCCTAAGACATGCAGGGTCTGCTCTGCACAGCCCTACTGCAAATTTCGGAATCCTAAGCCTGGCATTCCAGCCTCAGGGTCGGGTGCTTACTGTCTGCTGTTTCACCCTGTTCACTTTACGTGCTTCCCAGGCAGGGCCCTCTACAGTCTTTCTCCCGCAGAATGGGCAGAACGGTATTTTTGGCCTTTGACTCCTGCCCTCCAACGCTCTGCAGCTATCTCCTGTTTTATTCTCCTCCCCACCTCACCGCGCGCGCGCACACACACACTGTATTTATTCAGTTTGATTAAATGGGTAGATTGAAGGCACTGGAAGAGAGACCCATAGTTCTCTCAAGCTGCAAGCCCACTCCCTCTCTGTACACAAACCCTCAGTGTCCTGGTCTCCAAGGCACCCAGTTCCTAGGACACATTTCCTCCTCTGCCATCAGCACATGACTTTGCCTAGTTCCCAGTCTGCAGTTTCTTGGTCCTAAAGCCTGCAACCTCAATCTGCCAGGGACAGGGCTGACTCCGTGAGCAAACAGCATGTAGTCACAATGGGCCATGTCCAGAAAGACGCCATACTTGGGTTATTGCTCTGCTGTTGCCTTCTTGAAAGTAGGTGTGCATCAATTAGTAGCAGGGATACACTCTTAAGAAATGCGTCATTAGGTGATATCGTCATTGTGTGACTGTCATAGAGTATGCTTACACAAACCTGGTTGGTATAGCCTACTACACACCTAGGCAATATGGCGTAACTTATTGCTTCAGGTCACAAACCTGTAAGGCATGTCACTACACTGAATTCTGTAGGCAACTGTATCACAATGTAAGAATTAATACATCTAAATATCCACAGAAAACGTACATAAGAATACTAGATAACAATTTTTCAGCTCTACTATAATCTTAGGGAACCATCATCATATATGTGGCCCATCATTGATCAAAACATCATTTTGTAGCACCTGACCCTGATTTTCTGGGTCATGTCATTGCACTTTCATTTTGCTCTGGGTCTTCACAAGTTATACAAATGGTCTTGGTCAGAGACCTAAAGATCAGGTCACCCATCCTGATCCTGACCATATTCAAATGATGAAGGCTGATTTCCAGGCCTAGTCCTCTTCCAAGGATGGTAAATTGTGCTTTCATCATTACTTTCCCCTCGTAGGCAATTGCGCTTCATGTAAATCACTCTCCCAGTCCTGGGGATAGATGCTCCCCTGGCAGCGAGGAGCATGGAGCCTCCTTAGCCACCTCCCGAAGTCCATGACTGACTGATACAAGGTGGAAAAGGTTGTTGTGACTCTGCAGCGTGGTTTGTGCCCCAGAGCCCTTCTCTGTGGGCCAGGTCAAGGCTGATCTGAACAGATCCCTGCTCAGAATTTGTCCTTTCCCTGTTTGGCTTCTACCTTTCTTTTACAGGTCATTCCTAAAGTGCAATTTCCCCCCAAACCACCTAATTCCTGTCTCAGACTCTGCTTCTGAGACAATGGGTTTAACGTCAGGATCTTTCTCAACACAAAGCACCAGATTCTCAAAATAGAAAGTTCCACCAGTGATCTATCACAAACTTATTTTAGGCAAGTCACTCAGGCCCTCTGGTGACAGACAAGATAGTCCCAAAAGGCATTCCTGCCTGCTCCCTTACCCATCTGCCAAGCCAATCCCAGCAGGGAAGCAGCCAGACCTCGCCAGGACAGAACTGAACAACCTGCCCAAAGGAAAAACATGGGGAGCCACCCTAGCCTCTCCTATTTTATTATAGGACATGTTGGGGACCCGGGAAGTAAGAGGCAAAGGGGTAACAAGAGGGTGGCGAAGGCCCTCCCCAGCTGGGGATGGGCAAAGGCAGCTGATGAGGATTCAGGAAACTGAAGCCATCAGCCCCTGGATGGGACCAGGATTGTTGTGTGGAGAGAGCCCTCTGGGAGCAGCAGGAGGGGAAGAGCTTGCTGGGTGGAGAGGCCAGGTCTCTGCTGAGGCCAGCAGGCTCTGGGATGGGTCTGGCAAGATGGTGGAGGCACTGGTGCCTCCTCCCCCTGTGAGGGGCATGGAAGGACAGAGAACCTGGCTGCATTCAGCGGCTCCCGCTATTTATTCTGAGTTTGGTCTGAAGATCAGAGGGGATGAGTCATGATGATTTAAAAAGCATTCTTTTCCACTCAGAGGAAACAGGCAGGGAGAGAAGCAGGGTGCAATGTCAAAGCACCCCCAAATCAAGACACAGGATTTGGAGTCATATATGGGTTTGCTGTCTCAGTTCCAGCACTGAGTGACCACGGGGCAGGTCACTTCACTTCCCTGAGACTTGAACGTCTTCATCTACAAAATGGGAAATAGCTGTCCACTTCACATTTTTGTTGTAGCGACTAAGTGGGAAATACTGCCTCGGAGAGAAGGCTCTGGGCAATGGCTGCTGTTGTCATACTTGGTGCAAAATGGAGGCTCCCAGGCTGTGCTCCCGGGGCAGGCAGGCAGGGCAGGGAGTGTCTGAGGAAGTCTGCCCCCTGCTTCCTCTGTCAGGATGAGCTGAGGGGTGAGGGGACCAGGAAGAGAATGGGGCAATGGGGCATGGGCTGATTTTAAGGCCTTAATGAGGGTAGTCCCAGGGCCTCCTGGGTGGAGGGCAGGGTGGAGTGGGGTATTCTGATCCTCTAGGATGTTTTTAAAAAGCTGGGGGAGGAGAAGGAGGAGGCATATTTCTTCCCATGCATGCAACTGCAAAGACATCAAGCTGGGTCCATCTAGGATTTCAGATCCAGCCGTCATGGGGCGGCTGCTGGGGGAGGCCACTGCCCCCTTCTTCCTCCTCAGCACAGGGGTCATAAAAAAATACCTATAAATGTGAGAAAGTTCACATAAAAACACTTTTCTGCATGTATAAAAAAGACTGGCTGTAGTCAGTGGCTCAGGAAATGGACCAAGGCCTCGAGAGTGGCCAAGGAGAGTTGGTGGCCACCCAGTGGTAGATGAGCTGGTCTGAGGTACCCCTAGTGGCCTGGACAGCGCTGGCTCTGGGACAGGCTGTTCTTTGGCTGGGCTATCTTCTATGGAGTCAGGGTCTGGGGGGTGGTGAAGAAGTGTGATGGGGACTGGCTCCAGCAGTCCTGCTGTGACCCTGTGCTAGGCAGGTGGTGGGAATGCCCTGCCCTGGGCCTCAGGGACTCCTCAGGGGCCCCCTGCTAAAGCAGGAGCCTGCTTCACAGTAACTTCCCCAATTTCCTAATTAGGTTCTGGAGACCTATTGTTGGGTCTGTGTGTGGCTGGGGAGCAGCAGCGCCACAGGGTGGCTTCCCTTAGTAGGAGGCCCTGCACACAGGCTCCAGCAGGCTGTCTCCAGCTGAGGCTGACCCCAGCTGGGGACATCATACACAGGAGAGCAGCCGGGGTGTGGCAGGAAGGCAGGCTCTGCAGACAGCAATGCTACAAGGCAGCCTGGTCCCCAGCCACGGTCCTGGGTGCTTCCTTTGGGAGGAGGGCAAGAAGCAGGAGAGGAGGTCCCCTTCTTTCTGGCCCACTTCTCCCCGCTGGACTATGTGACTGGGTGAGGGAGGTCCAGGTAGGTCACCTGGGCCAGTGTTGGGGAATCCCAGGTGGCATCTGGAGCCAGGTGGGTAGGGAAGGGCTAATGGTGGTACCAGAGATCACAGCTCATTCACCCTGTCAGCTCGGGCCCCCTCTAAGCTACCCGTGTCATTGAGGCAAAGCTAGGTGGCTGCCCTCAGTTGACTTCAAAGCCACAAAGCAGCCTAGGAGTGGAGTGGGCGTGGGGAGGGTCTCAAGTCTGAAGTGGGCCAGGGTCCACTCTGGCCCAGGGGCCTGCGGGGCCTGTTTACCAGGTCCTGTCCAGCCTGGCTTCCCACCAGCCCAGCAGGCAACTAGGGGTGGAGGTGGGGCAGGCCGCGCCTGAGTCCCTCCTTCAGGAACTGCATGTAGGTGGCCGTGGACGGGTCTTCAAAGGTGGAGGAGAAGCTGAAGACATTGTTCTCCACGTCCTCAGGCTTCATGGAGGTGATGTCCAGGAAGTAGTTGGCATTGATGTGGTGGACCTGGGAGAAGGACCGTGTGAGGAGAGCTGGGGAGGCCCGGGCTCTGCTGGCCTGAGTGTCTCTGGAGAAGCAGCGGCTCTCCAGCCTCCGCCATGGGCTCCTAGGCCCCACGGCAGTGCTCCTCCCCACCCCGTCCACTAGGGGAGCTCCTGGCACCTGCCCATGTCATCTTTTCCATTAGCCCCCTGCCATCTGACCCCAAATAGCCTCTCTTTTCTCTGCTCCTATGACCCCTGAGCCCCACAGTCCTTTCTGTCCAAATGCCCAGCATCCTCTGGGCTGCTTCCCACCTGCCTCTTGCTCTAACTAGTGAGCACAGTGCGGGCAGGGCGGTTTCTTTACCTTTCTGCAAGGAGCCTGGTCCAAGCGGGTGCCCAGAAAGTGAATGAACAAGTGGGCAGGAGGACCCACCAACTGACTGACCAACCGACCGACCGACCAGCCAACCAACCAGCCAGCGGGTGAGTAAGCGAGTGCATGCCAGGCAGCGCACTGTCTGCTCATCCTGGTGACCCCAGGACCTGGTCCGCAGTAGGCTCCGCATGGTGGAAGCCAGGAGGGGTGGGCTGCCTGGCTGTCCCCAGACCTTTCCTCCTGGGCCCCTGACACCTTCAGCCTTCTGCCCACTGCCCTGTCCTTCTCGCCAGGCTCTCACGGACTCCTCCTCCACACCAGCCCCTGCCCTGGAACCACCCCAACCCAGGATCTGGGTGCAGCTGATCACCCTTCTACAGCAAGCAGAGTCACATGCCAGCCAGCCTTGGGACTAGAGGACAAAAGTGGCTTCCAGTAGGGGAGCTAGAGATTCAGAGGCTCACAGGTAAACCTACTTTCAAAACCAACTGCTCTTCCTAACTGTCTGCAACTTTTGCCAAATCTCTGAAAATTTCTGAGCCTCTGGAAATGTTTGAGCCTCATTCTCCTTGTCTGTAAAACAGGCATTGAAAGCAAAGCACGTGGCGCACGCCTGTAATCCCAGTGACTCGGGAGGCTGAAACAGGAGGATCACAAGTTTGAGGCCAGCCTGGAACACTTAAGGAGACCTTGTCTCAAAATAAAATTTAAAAAACAGCTGAGATGTAGCTGGTGGAAGGGCACTTGCCTCGCATGCTCAAGACCCTGGTTTAATCCCAGCCCTGGAAAGCAAAGCAACCAGGATACTGGTGACCACCTATTTCCAAAGTGTAGTGAGGGCGTGGGTGAGGCCATATGAGGGGCCCTTAGGGAGAAGTAGGGTCTGGAACCCTGGCTCGGTCAGGGCCCTCCCTGGTGCTCTTGGCCACAGGGCCCTGCTCTTCCTACCCCACCACCCCAGGCCGGCTGCAGTGGCAGGAGGAGCGTCTTCCCTCCAGGACATGCTTTTGTCCACTCAACTGGTCTGTTTCATTTGGGGATGTGCTGACCCCCTTCCTGGACTATGCTTACTGCCATGCAGTCCCCAAAGGGCTGCTGAGGTCCCACTCTTGCAAAGCAGCTGCACTGCGATTCCTGGTTGTGCATGGTGGGGCTCACACTAGCTAAGAGACCAGTGCGAGGCTTCGCGGCCTAAGGTGGTGGCAGACCCGAGGAGCCTGCACAGGCATGTCCCCTGCCTACTGCTCCCCGGTCCCTGGTACCTACCACAGTGCCGTTGGGCAGGCAGATCATCATCTCCACCGGGAAGCTGTACTTCTCCAGGTGCAGGCCAGCCAGCTGCCTGTGGGATGGGTTCTCCTGGTTGCTCTGTGGGTGGGGACAGTCGCAGGCTCTTGCTATCTGGGCCTCCAGCACTGTCCCAGGGTCCCGTAGGCCATTCCCTCCACTCACCTGCAGGTCTTCGAGCTCCTTCACCAGGGACCAGGTGCTGATGAAGCTCTCATTGAGGAGTGCAAGGATGGGCGAACTTTCCAGGACAGTCTCCCGGAGAGTCCGCCCTGAACCTGTTCAGATAGAGGTCAAGGCCAGAAGGGTGAGGAGCCCCCAGGTCTTACTGGCGTTTTCCATCAGCAATGATCTTGCTTTGGGCAAGCCTCATAGACCACAGAATGGTCTCTGCATCCACTTGAAATAACAGATTCAATAGGTAAGTACTAAATAAGTGGTAGTTGGGATTAATGTCAATAACACTGACACCTGGGCTGAGATTTGGGGTAGGTTCTACTGGGCCCATGGATCAGAGACAGTGACACCTCCCTAAATTCACAGAACTCTATGTGCCCCCGGGCCTTTGCACAGACTGTTCTGCCCAGAACCTTCTTCCTCTTGTAAGAATCTTCCTTTTGTAACTCTTCCTCATCCTTCAAAGTTCCAGCTTAATGTCACTTTCTCCAGTAATTCTTCCTTGACCCCTCCACCCATGCTCTCGTGCCAGTCTGGCCCCTGCCTGGTACAACACTCTCTATACTTGTGCTTCCTCATTCCACATCTGCCTCTGCACTACACTGTAGGCCTCCAGCACCTGGCCTGCCACTTGGTATACCAGGTGCCCAGGATGTCCGCTGAGTGACCAGATGTGGGCAGGGCATGTTACTCCTCTTTGAACCCACTGAAGGGCTCCCGCAAGTCTCAGGTGAGTTTCCTAAATGAAAACCACAGCCCAGCCTCGGGCACCACTGTCCCTCAGTGTGGATGTCACTTTACAGCATGTGGCACCTCCACATCCCTTTTCACGACCCTGGGAGGTGAGAAATCTGAGGCTCAGGAGGAAAAGTTACGTGGTCAAGGTCACCACGCTGAAATGACCGAGTCTGAACCCAGTGTGCAGGGACCCTTCCTCTGCCTCCGGGCTCAGCACAGAAACCCTCCAGCTCACCCAGAGCCCCGCCCCGCGTGCAGCCCGACTCCCGCAGGGTTCCATCAGGACAGCTGTTGCCTCAGCTTCCTGTCCCACAAAGTATGAGGCCCCTGCTTCTCCCCTTGGAGCTGCCCAGGGCTCCCTCACCTCAGCAGGACTGGTCATCCAGGGCCCCCCAAAGAAGGATTGAGTGCACCAGCTTGTTCTCAGCCTTGGCTCGGTCAAAGGCCTCGGTGAACGGCAGGTAGGTGACCTAGGGTCAGACCCAGACAGTGAAGCTGCTGTGCTAGTCGGGGGCCTGTTCTGGGGCCGAGTGTGCAGGGCCTGTGTGCGTGTGTACGGGTACGTGTTCGTGCTTGTGTATGAGTTTATGTGCGCGCATGTGTGCAGATTCACGTGTCTGAGGGTGTGGAGGGGTACTGTTGGGCTGGGACGCCCCTCCTGGCAGGGGAGGCCACATGGCCCTGGGTGACAGAGCCTCAACAGCTTGCCCTGTACACGTCCCCCCTCCACACTCCCAGCTCAGCCATGCAGCCTGCCCTAGGCTTCACCCTAGCCCAACCTCACCTTCTTGAAGGGGTACATGGCCACCTCCAGATGCCGGGCGGCCTCCTCCCAGCTCAGCTCCTGCTGCCACCTGATCTCCTCAAACACAAATTGGAGGGGCTCCCCTGAGGGCTGGCGGCTGTCAATCACGTTGCCATCCTCATCCAGGATCACCGAGGGCACTGAGGGGCCCATGGCTTCAAGCTCCATCTGGACCAGAAGTCAGTGATGAGGGATGGCTCAGAGCAGGGCCCTGAAAGACCTTCAGGGACACTCAATTCATCATAGAGGAGGGAGACGGAGGCCCAGGGAAGGCGGGCCCCGCAGGATGACCTGGTGAGGGCCACCTGGGCTCACCTGGGGTACGTAGCCAATGTCCACCTCCATGCTGCTGCCCTCGCTGGCCCCGTACAGCCACTCCATGTCCACATTCAAAGACCTGGGGTGGCCAGGCAGAGCGGCATCTCAGAGGTAGATCACCTACACAGTAGACTTCGTCTGCTCACCACGAGCTGCCCACTTTGCAAATGAGGACACTCAGGCTTTACAGGGTGAATCCAGTGTCTCAGAGAGACTGGGATTCTGACCCAGAGCCTGGGCCCTTTCCTCTCCCCAGGCTGCCCCTTCCCAACCACAGCCATGGGGCCCACCCTGGGAAGCACACCTCATGTACTGCCCGTGACCTTTAAGGGCAGAAAGATGGCCAATGCCTCACTGCAGGCCCGCGTGGGTCAGGAGTGTGAAACAGGCACCACGGGCCCCTTCAGTAGGCAGCAAGCAGTCTGATAAGTGTGGTCTTCAGATCTGCCACATGGGGGCGCCCCAAGGCTGACAACCAAGCACTTCTGCAGCAGGTGAAGCCCACAGGTGAGCTGGGTGCTCTCAGAGGGGTTGGCCTTCTTGTGGCCAGGTTTAGACAAGGACAGGAGCAGCTGGCCCTGGGCTGGATGTCTGTCCTCTTCTGTCTCATCCAGTCCAGGACCTCCCCACCCCCAACAACCCGGGTTTGGAGGCAGAGGTGCCTGGCAGCCTCCTCCCTGGCCGAACTGAACCACAGAGGGCGGCGCTCCTTGCTGGGAGAGGGAGGGGCAGCTGTGTTTCCTCTTCATCCCCCTCCCTGTCCCTAGGGTCCAGTGTGTCCCTGCCCTACCTCTCTGGTGGGGGAAAGAAGCCCCTCCCACTGCTAGGGAGGCTATCCCAACCATCCCCTTGTTCCTGTCCCATGAGTGCAGTGGCCAGGTGTGAGCCTCCCATCTGGCAGATGAGGAAACAGGTTCACAGAGGGCCAGGGCCAGCCACAGAGCCCACTGCTGCCATAGCTAAGGCTGAACTAGGGGACTTCCTGGCTCCCAGCCTGGGACTTGACCCTGTCTAAGAGGTCATTCAGGCCTGCTAAGTCTTGGGACTTATCAGGGAGGAATGTCTTGCCTAGGCCTTCCTAGGTCCCCTGTTCTGCTGATGGGTGGCTGATCCTGGGCAGATGAGGCAGGCAGGCAGCTGGCTCAGACAGTGCTGTCCCAGAACCCTCCAAGGCTCTGTGGCAATAGGGCTGAGGCTCAGGCTCTTGCATGTGCTGTTCCCTCCGTCTGGACTCTCTTCCCCAGGTCTCTGCTTAGATGTCACTTCCTCTGGGAAGCCTCCTTGGACCCCCAACGGGGGCCCTGCCCTTCCCCTGGGTGGCCAGAGCAGCCACTGAGAGGTGGCTCTGGGGAACAAGGGAAGGGGCAGAGAGTGAGGGGTGTCTCTGACTGTTCTGCTTTTGAGCTTCTGGAGTTGGGGAAGGATAGACTTAGCCAGATGCTGAGGCTGGGCCAGCCCCAGCTCCCACCTGTGATTGGGCACGAAGAGCCGGAAGTCACGGACATGGGTGGCATCTTTCGAGAGGATGATGTGGCCAGTGAACTGGCCTGGGGAGAACCAGAAGGGGAAGTCTGGAGGCTCGCTGAGCTGGAACTCGGCATGGATCCTGTGGGGAACAGACTCTGCTAAGCCAATGCTCCCCTATCTTCTCCCCCAAATCCTGGGAGCCTTGGCCAGACTCCTGTGGGAGAGAAGGCTGGACAGGGGGAGGAGGGTGCGTGGGGTAGGAGGAGGACAAGGCCCTAAAGATACTGCCACCCTCCAAGGCCCAGTTTCAGAAAGAAGCACCTTGACCTTCCTCTGAGCTCCCACGGATTTTCAAGGGTATGGGTGACAATGTCCTGACCTCTGTGTGGACAACACAATCACAGCCACCAGTCCCAGGCTAAGCAAGTTCTGGACATTTCTCTCCAAATTCTCATGTGCCCTATGAGGAAGCCACTACTACGCTGACCCACAGCGAGGAAACTGAGGCTCAGAGAGCCTGAGACCATAAGCATGAAGTAGTGGAGTTGGGGACCTAGGCTAGGCCCTCCCCTGCTGGCCCTAT